ACGATTGTTGGTTCTCTAAGACCAGGTTATCTTTATTGTTGTAGATAGCCTATGCTTGTTTAATGGAGACGTGGTGATGCTGTGGGTGAAGCACTGGGTGTTAGTCAAGTGTAGGAACCCCCCCAGCAGTGGAGTGGGAGAAAGCTGAGATGACCCGTGTCCTGGAAAGATGGACAGCCCTGGGCCCCATGGCAGCACTTCTCCTTTGTCCCATAGACAGGGTCGCTCTGAGTCAGAATCAGTCCGACAGCAGCGAGGTTGGTCAGTCGGGTGGTTGGTATGGATGTTTATTTTTGCCCTCGTCTTTGCCACTTCTGTCTCTCTGTTTCTGTGTATAACCCAGACCTGCCCTCTGGGATCACTTTACTTCTTCCTGAAGTCCATGTTATATAATTTCTCATAGCGAGAGCCTGCTGTTGGCAAACTTGTCTAAAAATAACTCCTCGGCTTTCTTTTCAAGTGGTGTTTTCACTGGGTGTGAATTCTTCTGGGAATTTTTTTTTTCTTTTTCTCTCAGCAAAATGAAGATGTCATTTGATGTCTTCTGTCTTTCATTTTCATAGTTGAGAGTTTGACTGCCATGGTACCATGTATTTTTTTACAGGTGAACTCTCCCGTCCTTGGTTTTAAAGGTCTTTATACTCGGTGTTCTGAAGTTTCCTTCTGATGTTCCCTCTTGCTATTTCTCTTATTTATTCTGCTTGAGAGTCACTGGCTGTCTTGAACCTGCTCTTCTCTTTGACTTCAGAATATCCCATCTGCCCTTTGCTCACCGTTTGCCTCTGCCTCGTTCTCTTCTCTCTCTGGAACTCCGTGTTAGATAGTCTCATGTGTCTCCTTCATGCTTTCCACGGCTTCATACATCTCCCCTGAATCCTATCCTTAGCTTCAGTGCTGTCTCTCAGCGGACTGATTTTCTCTTCGTTTGTGTCCAATGTGCTATTAAAACTACTACATGTGATTTTTAATTTTATTCATTACATGTAATTTTTTAGACATTCTTTTTATCAGTTTTCCAAGTCTGCTTAGCCATTCTTTTTATTTTCCCTCCCTGAGTTAGTTAGTTTATTGTGCCAACCTGGCCGATAAACACATGTGGGGTTAATTGAAGGGCAGAGGGATGAATGGCTCCATGAGCCTTGCCTTTGGAGTTCTCGGGTCTTTTGCTTTGTGATGGTCGGACCAGGGTGCAGCTACCTTAGCTAGTTCCCTGCTTCAGCTGGCAAGGCTCACTTCCTGCAAGACATCCCTGAGGAGAAGCCACATGGACCTACTCCAACACAGCCCTGGGTGCTGGAGCAGCCGTGTGGAGACCCCTGCCAGCACTGAGATGTTTACACATTCACTGATTCGACTTTCCTCTTGGCAGTCAGAGTCATAGTGTCTGTTTTGTGAGATGGAGGAGGACTTTGTGGCTTAGTGTTGGACATATGGGCTAATGTTGGACTTGTGGGCTTGGGCAGCACTGAGTTGGGATATTTTCTTGATGCGCACTTAACCTTTACATAAAACTCTCTCTTATACATGAGTTTCTGTGGATTTGTTTCTCTAAGGTACCCAGACTAACATACTCCCCTTGCAGATATTTCCAACCACATCTTTTTGTTGTTGTTGTCTTTAACAGACTGGTTGTAGGTCTGAAAGTTCCAATTTTTGAAAGATGTATTTCCTCTGATGTTTTGGGCTAGTTCTCACTTGTGGGTACTTATTTTCTTGGTGTGCTGGAGTTTATGTACCATGACTTGCTCCTTCTTCTTGGGACCTACAGGGAGGTGGTTCTAGGCAAGAAAGACTGTTTTCACAGAGATGGCTTCCTTTTGCTTCTGCCAGACCCTACCAGTGGAGCCCCAGTTTAACTCCATTTATGGCCCCGGGGCTTTGTTTTGTTTTGCTCCTTGTTTGTTGTTTTGATCACCCAGGTGATAGGCCTCCTCCAGCTGTCAGTCCTGCGATGGATGGCTCCGTTGGAATTTCAGGTTTCCTTCCCTCCAGCTCTCTTGTCTGCAGGAAAGGGATGTTTTTTGGCTAGTTCTCACTAGCGGGGTACTTATTTTCTCGATGTACTGGATTTTATTTACCGTGACTTGCTCCTTCTTGGGACATACAACTTCCCAGGAGTTCGGTGGGCACAAGGCAGTGGTCAGTGGGTTTACCTCTGCCCTCTCTTCTGGCACACCTTGGTGCCATGGCAGCTGGCTCTCGCTAGTGGAGGGATAGGCTCTGTGAGGCTCTGCTTTATGGAAGTGGTGGGGCAGCTCACACCTCAGTCTCCTTCCCTGGGTGTCTCAAGACCCTGGACTGGAAGGGCCTGCAGTGCTGGTGTGACCGACTGTACCTTACATTTTAGTCCATCGGTCCTTAGTTGGTTTGAGTGTGCTTTTAAAAGCTTTAAAAAGAATATGATATTTACCATGTTTTCCCCTCCTTGGCAGGTTTGGTCTGAATAACCTTGTCTACCATACAGAAATGAAGAGGCTACCTGAATATGGATGTCCACACATTCCTTGTATACTTCGCGTAAACACATAGCATATAGTAAAAATTTTGATTGCTTCCTAAAACATTTTTTCTTTTCAGTATTTTCGAATCAAATTGAACATCCTTTTCCCACTTACATACCCGTGTCTATAAGTCAAACTCCAGTTCATTCCCAGCCTTCTTGTTAGGTTGACTTCCCAAAGTGCAGACGTAGCAATAGCTGAGATCGTCACTCACACCAGAGTTGAGTCATTGAAAATCAAGCTTGTCTGATAAAGGGTTTTCCTTACGGAATAGATCAGTGACTGGAGAAGACCTTACATTTGGAATATATAGTTATCATCGATAGACTCTGCAAATTGTCCCCCCTCCCCTTCTTTTGGGTAAAAACATGCACAACGAAGCATAGATCAGTTCAACAATTTCTACATTATAATTAGTGGCATCCATCTCTTTTTTTATTGTTTTCCCATCTCATTCTTAAAGTTGTGTAACTATTCCGTTACCCAATCTCCCACTGCCATACCCTCACTGCCTCCTATGCAGAAACTTCCCCCACCCACCACCCACCCCACACGTCCAAACCTAACCTAACTCGCCGTCATCAAGTTCACTCAGTATCGACCCTGCAGGACAGAGTAGAAATGTCCTTGTGGGTTACCGAGGCTATAAACCTTTACAAGAGTAGAAAGCCTCACCTTTCTCCTGAGGAACATCTGGTAGTTTCGAACCACTAACCTCTTGGTTGTAACCCGGTGCATAATCCACCACAGCACCAGTGCTCGCCCTCCCCTAGTGACCACTGATCATCTTTGCCTTCCGTGCCTACAAGTGAGAGCAGACAGTAGTGGGCCTTTCCTGCATGGATTTATTGCACTCAGCACAATGTTTTCTAGGTTCATCCGTGTTGTGTGTGGCGTGCCGAGGGCCTCATTTAGCTCAGGATTCTACAGGGTGTAGAGCTTGTGTGCACATGGGAACATAAGGGGCAATCTCTCCCCCACCCCCTTTAAATTCTGTCATGTCTTTTGAGAGCTTGTTGCGTGGCTGGTGGCCTGTAGAGGTGACTGGCTGTGTCCCATAATTGCAAATGTTGCTGAGAAGTGCCTCAGGGCCCTTCCTCCAGGGACGTCTGTCTCTGTTTCTCTCTCTCTGCTCTTCTTCATGCCTGAAAAATGCTTGGTACAGATGAAGGTTACGAGACTTCTCTGGCTAATTCGGTTTGTTTTTAGAAATAGGAAGGTTTCTCATGGGTTATTTTTTTCCCCTAGTTCACTACTTTGGAGATTTAGTTTATCTTATAAATTCCATGTCATAGACCACCACTCCTCATCTAGCTTCTCCTCCCTCCCCTTTCCTTCCTCCCAGCTCTTCCACCGCCCTCCTTGATAGAAAGACACCTTCCTTTATTGAGCTGTTTGTAGTCACTGGGCCAAGCATTCTAGTCTGAGAGATCTTATTTCATCCTCCCAAGATGTAGCGATGTGCGCAGCAATACCATGTGAAGAGCTGAGGCTCAGGAGGTGTCAGTCACACAGTCACTAGCGTAGTCACACCCCTCAGCTGAAGGCCACAGAGCCAGGGAGCCAGGCTGGTGCCCCAAAGCTCTTCCATTCCTGAGGGTTGTGCTTCACTGTGGCCCCTCGTGATGCCCTGGAAGCCCAGCTGCCCCTCGCATGCCATTCTGCATGCGTTTGTGCTAATGCAGTACCGCCTGTTTCCTCTTCCCCTGCCTAGCCATGCCCCTCTCTGCCCTCTTGCTGGGCACGCCCCTCCAGCAGGCACAGCCAGGCTCAAGCAGATGACTGGTCACACTGTGGGGTCTAGGTTGCAGGCTTTTAAATCTCCGTTCATGTTCTTTGTGCTCTGTTTGCCGTGCTCTGTTGACACAGCAGATTTTAAAGCGTCTACAAGGACATCTTACTTCTTTATGGGTCAACCATCACTCCTTTCCCTCCTCTTTCTTATTTAGCAGGAGGGATTCTCTCCCATGGAAGCCGAGAAGGCCCTATTGTGGTGTGTTCATACCCATTTGATTTTCACACACCCTGCCACCTGGATATGAGGCTGGTGTGCACATTACTGATGGAGGGTGGGCCCGAGCTGTGGGAGGCCCAAGCGGTGCCTTCTCTCTGGACACTGGGCATGTTGGTGCTTCTTTCCCCTTAGCGTAGGGACTGATGGGAAGGAGTATGTTGGGGACCAGTGAAGTCTGTGAGCCATGCTGAAGCAGATAGGTCTGGTTCTTTGGCCCAGAGCCCTCTCAGCTGGACAAGGTGCCATTGTGACCCATTTTGTTTTTGGCAGTCTTGGTGTAAGCACACCCCCATGTCTCTCGTTGAACCTTGGATGTCTCCTCATGGGTGAGCTGAAGAGGCGGGGCCTTGGAGACTCAGTGCGTGCCCAACCCCGGGGCGACTTCCGCAGTGGCAGTGCCTCCTCTCGGCTGACCCAGATGCTGCGTGTGTCAGCAGGAGGGTCTCCACAGTCGGTGAGGGTCTGGCCCACATTGACACTTGTCCTCACACCGACAGAATTCTTCTCAGTGACTGTTTGGGACTGGCTGCACTGATTTCTTGGCACAGCTTCGAAAGATGGAGAAACCATCTGCAATGGAGAAACCCATTTAGAGGCTCTTCATGTGCATGTGGGTCTGCTATTCAAAAAGCAAACACTAACATTGCAGATCTAGGGTTTGTAAGCATAGGCACGTATTGAAATCTTACCTGTAATGGCATACTAGTTGGGAATATTTTTAAGCAGAGAGGAATTGTGGTGAATATTTGTTACAGCTTCCTGGTTTCCGGAGGGATGGGCTTGTCTGCAGTTTTATCAGTTCCAGGCAGGAAGCGGGAAGGGAAGATCTCTATGTTGTTTATAGCTATACATATCTATATCTGTATCTCTGTGAACTTGCATGCATATGTGTGTGCACCCATATGTGTGTGCACACACTGTGAGTTCACATGTGCAGGTGTTGGGTGAGGGAGGCTCTGTTCCTCTGCACACGTGACAAGGGCATGGCTCAGTGCAGGCAGGTGGGGTAACGGTGCCGATGAGTGTTGTGTGCCCTGTGCAGATGCGGAGGAGAACTTTTAACTCAGAGAATTTGTTATGAGGAGCTCCTGGTTTTCATTGGGGTTCCGTTCTGAGAGCTCCATCGTAAGCTGGTCCTGGTTTAAGGAGGCAACCTAAAAAAAAAAAAAATTACCATTGTGAATGCTTTTATCATCAGCATCTTTATAAATCTAGTTTTTGAACACCTGCGAATAACAGTAAATGGTGTGCTGCCACATCCTATGCCATACATAACACTGATGTTAATTAATAAGAAACATTCACACACACTCATGCGCACGCACGGTTATAAGTATGGTGCATCCTGAATCTTGGACCCCCTGTGCTGCTGAAAGGGCAAGTAAACACTGCATGTTGAATTAAATTAACTAGATCTCTTTGTCACCCCGCGTGAACAGAGTGAAGTCTCCTGCATCTGCCATGGAGAGCCTGAGAGGGGACTGAGGAAAGCAAAGGGTCTCCTGTGGGGACCTCGTCTCCCGTTCTACTCTCCGAGAAGGACACCTCTGCCCTGGGATTGGAGCCAAAGTTCGTGTTGCAGGAGTCCCGAGGTAGGCAAGAGCCTTTGAAACTCTGGTAGAATGGCTTTGGCCTGACGTGAACTGCTTAGTTGGGCCCTTGGCCTGCCTTCTGGATGGTATTGAACGTTTCCCGGCATAGATTATTTGTGAAACTCATCTGAAATCTCAGGGTGGCCTCGAATTCCCCTAGGCGGCACTGCTGGCTTCTGACAGGCCGGCCCGCTGCTGCCCTCTGGTGGCCTCTTCCGTGTCAGTTCAGGTCCACGTTCAATGAATTTGGTGCTTTTGCGCGGTGCTGAGTGAGGTTGTTTTAAAGCCCTTTATTATACATTGTTATTTTCCTGCGGGAATTAATTCATCTTGCCTGGTGAACACTGCTCACGGAAGCAGCTGTCAAGAGATCAAACCACACATTGCATTAGGTAACTGCAGCACAAGACCTCTTTAAAGGGTTGAAAAGCTAGGATGTTACTTTGAGGACTAAGCCTTGGTACTTTAAACGGCCTCATCTGCATGTGGAAGCTGGACACTGACTAAGAAAAGTGGATGCCTTGGGGATGGTGTTGTGGAAGAGTGCTGGACTTCCCAAGGCTAGTTAGGTAAAGCACAAACAGATGTGTCTTGGAAGCAGTACAGCAGAGTGCTCCTTGGCGGCAAGGATGGTGAGACTCCGCCCCAGGCACTTCAGACATGATCCGGAGAGAGCAGTCTCTGGAGAAGGACATCGTGCTTGGTAAAGTGGCGGGGCAGTGAAAAAGAGGAAGGCTCTCAAGGAGATGGACTGACCCAGTGGCTCAAACAGAATAATTACGAGGGTGGTGCAGGACCCAGCAGTGTTTCCTTCCGTTGTGCATAGGGGCCCGATGAGTTGGAACCGCCCTGACAGGCCCAGCAACAGCAAGCACGGTCATTTTAAAGCCCTTACTACACATTGCGAGCTTCTTTGAGATAATTGATTCAAGATAGTTTTTTTTCCTTAGTTTTTTATTGTGAATTGGGCGGGGGTTTACATATCAGATGATTTTGTGTTCAGTCACTTAAACAACTGATCAGACCTCGCCCTGGCTTGCCCTGTTTTCTCTCCCCTTCCCCATTTTCCCCATCTCCCCTTTCAGGATATTATCATCCCCCTGACCCACGTTAACACTGAACCACCCTCTAGCCTGGTACCACCCTTCGCCCTTCGACAACCTCCGGTACAAAATGGAATTTCGTACCTGTGCTTCTTTGTAGTGGTGGTTTGTGACTCGGCATATGCTTTTGAGAAAAGTAGAGACCAGTGTTAGCATCCTGGAGGATCCAGCCGGTGACTGACAGGAGAACGCAGTGTCAGCTGACAGAGACACATGTTGGTCACGTGTCCCCCAGCTGAGGGTGCTCAGAACAGTGACCATGCCTGTGCTCGTATGCTCATTCACGTGTTCAGTGGGGGTCCATGAGCCTCCCATGCGCTCTCCAGGAGCGGACAAATTCGACAGCACAGCCCACTGAGTATTTATTGGCAGGGGGGAGGGGTGGTGGTGCCAGACAAGCAGTACTCTAGAGAGGAAAGCCACCTTTATTAGTGGGCTCAGCTCTGGGAGTCATGAACCCAGAGGAAGGGGCCGAAGAGAGGGCACAGTCCATTGGACCAAGGCCAGGCCCCTAAGGGTAGGCCGCCAAGATGAGCCCAGAAGCTGATAGGCAGAGGGCCTCAAGCCCAGGGACAGGAGGCAGTGGTGTGAGGGGTGGGAGCAGTGAGGAGGGGCTGCTGGCTTGGTCCCATGGGGCCCTGAGCTCTGTGTCCCTGGAAGCTCGCCCAGGCTGTTGGGGGAAGAGACTGCAAGAGGGCCCAGCTGCCTCTGCGAAGCTGAGACCGAGGTGGTGGCCGTGCATGAGCCGTTGTTGTGACGGCTGAGCCCCACCTGTACACTGAGCCCAACGGCACCGTCAGGTCAGGCAGAGGGAAGATGATCAGGAGGACTGCGTGTTCAGGGGACACCTGAGAAAGCAGAGGCTGTTTGCTGAGCTGGACGAGGCTGGGGGCGGGGAAGGTGTGCGGGAGCCAGAGGGTGGGCAGCATGGGTCTGAGATGCTCATCTGATGCCCCGGGAGAGCCTGCAGGCTGCTGTCCATTTGGGAAGTCATCAGACAGCATTTGAGGTCACCCAGAGTGAGAAGTAACGACAGAGGGAGAGAGCACCAGGGCCCAGGGAAGCGATGGAGCCGTGTTTGAAGAAAGAGATGGGCCACTCACGGTTGACCATTGGGCTTTGGGTCTGTGCCAGGAAAATTCGAGAAGTCAACAATTAAAGTAACAGATCCCTGATGCGCCCTTTTAAAGGAGGTTTTCTTTGCCCCCCCCCCCCCGCCCCCCCAAGAATTGACTTCAGAGGACAGCACTGAATCTGCAGCTCAGGGAGAGGGAGATGTCTGATGGGAGCAAATGAAGGGGGAGGAAGAGAGAGTGGAACTCATCCTGGCCCACCAACCCTTGAGGACCATATTCCCGCTCAGAGCAGCCAATGCACAAAGAGGACCACATGGCCGGCCCCACTATGAGACACGACATCCCTCACTGACCCATAACCCTACAGGGGACAACACTGGAGACACAGTGTGGGAATTGCACCCAATCTGACCCCACCACGCCAAGGCAAAACACTAAGGGTGTGCAACAGAACAGCAAAGGAAGCAGAACAACGAAGTCTCCAAGGAATACCAAAAATAGACTTTGGGGCCAGAGCGTGGCGCCCATCAGACTCGACAGGAAAACTCTCCTAAAGGTCAACAAACAGTCCTTGAACTATCTCTAGCTTTTCTCTTTTTTATTGGTTATTGTGGGGTGTGTGTTTTTTTTTATGTTTTGTTTTCTTTTGTTGCTTTGTTTTGCTCTGTCTTGTTTTTGTGCATGTTATTATCTCTGTAGGTCTGTCTAAATAAGATAGGCTGGATGAACAATCTGGAGGAGAAAATAACAGGATGGACCCCAGGGGACATGGGAGAAGGGGAGGTGGGAGGAAAGGAAGTGGTGTTAACAAATCCAGGGACCAGGGAACAACAAGTGATCCAAAATCGGTGGTGAGGAGGGTGTAGGAGGGCTTGATCAAGGGTAATGTAACTGAGAGAAATTACTGAAACCCAAATGAAGGCTGAGCATGATAGTTGGACAAGAGGAAAGTAAAAGGAAATAGAGGAAAGAACTAGGAGGTAAAGGGCATTTATAAAGGTCTAAATAAAGGCATGTACATATGTAAATATATTTATATATGAAGATGGGGAAATAGATCTATGTGCATATATTTATACGTTTAGTATTAAGGTAGCAGATGGACATTGGGCCTCCACCCAAGTACTCCCTCAATGCAAGAACACTTTGTTCTATTAAACTGGCATTCCATGATGCTCACCTTTCCGACACAGTCGCTGAAGACAAAGCAGGTGCACAAGCAAATGTGGTGAAGAAAGCTGATGAAGCCCAGCTATCAAAAGATATAGCGTCTAGGGTCTTAAAGACTTAAAGGTAAATAAGTGGCCATCTAGCTCAGAAGAAACAAAGCCTACATGGAAGAAGCATACCAGCCTGTGCGATCATGAGGTGTCAAAGAGATTAGCTATCAGGCATCAAAGAACAAAAATCATATTGTGAATGAGGGGGAGTGCGGCGTAGGGACCCAAAGCCCATCTGTAGGCAACTGGACATCCCCCTACAGAAGGGTCTCGGGGAGAAGATGAGCCAGTCAGGGTGCAGTGTAGCAACGATAAAACATACAACTTTTCTCTAGTTCCTAAATGCTTCTTCCCCACCCACTATCACGATCCCAATTCTACCTTACAAATCTGGCTAGACCAGAGGATGTACACTGGTACAGATAGGAACTGGAAACACAGGGAATCCAGGACAGATGATCCCTTCAGGACCAGTGGTGACAGTGGTGATACCGGGAGGATAGAGGGAGGGTGGGGTAGAAAGGGGCAACAGATTACAAGGATCTGCATATAACCTCCTCCCTGGGGGACAGATAACAGAAAAGTGGGTGAAGGGAGACGTCAGAAAGTGTAAGATATGACAAAATAATTTATAAATTATCAAGGGTTCATGAGGGAGGGGCGAGCGGTGAAGGAGTGGGGGCAAATGAGCTGATACCAAGGGCTCAAAAAGAAAGCATATGTTTTGAGAATTATGATGGCAACAAATGTACAAATGTGCTTGACACATCGATGTATGTATGGATTGTGATAAGCGTACGAGCCCCAGTAAAATGATTTTTTTAAAAAAGCACCCATAAAAAGAAATAAAAGCACCTAATGTAAAATAAATAAATAAATAAAGGAGGTTTTCTCCTTTCTTCAGCTGGTGCTTTCTTTACCCTCGGTCAATGAGCGTGTGGGAAGGGCACACTCAAGGTCATGTTCACTGCTGCTCAAGCTGCGGGGATGGAGGTTACCTTTCAGCCACGCTCTTCTTTCCGTTCTGTGGGCTGTAGAGAGGGCATCAGTTTCCCCGAGCACGAGTTTCCTACAAGCCACTGAGGGCCCCTGAGCGGGAACCAATCTAGGAGAGACTGGTGGTTGCGTGTGCCAACTTCAGTCCAGTTTGTGACCACCTACATTTAACATGCCACCGAAGGGGAGAACAATGTATTAATTATGCTGGTATGCAAATAGCAGGTAGATCGGTTAAGCTTTCATCGGAGAAATGAATTATTCATAGTCATTTCTACAAATAAATTGTTCTTCAAGGCGTAGGGAAAAAAATCAGGCCAAAGGAAATATCAAAAGCATGTGCTGAGGAAGCAAAATGAAAGGGCTGGGGGATTAGAAAATATTACAGCAATATCTGAATCCTCACCTCCCCCCCCCAAGGTTGTTTTTGCCCAGCTTGTGAGCTGAGGAATAGAAATTGTGTTTTTCTTTTTTATTATAAAATGGAACTGCTTTTGACAAGAAACCTGGGGTGTACGTCTTTTTCTATCTGGTCCAAAATGCTATGGAATAGAAAAAGCTACTAAGCAAGTAAGGATGTGCTTGGCTCACAGGACACTTCCCGGACCGAAGCGGTCCCTGCCGTGGCAGCTCTGAGGGCCCTTCCGGGGCTGCCTGGGGCCATGACTTTACTCGTAGCTTCAGGTCCAGGGGCTCTCTTGCACCGTGCTGATTCCTTTTAAGGCCACTGGACATCCCCTTACAGAAGGTATCGAGGAGGAGACAAGCCAGTCATGGTGCGACATAGCAACGATGAAACATACAACTTTCCTCTCGTTCCTAAATGCTTCCTCCCCACCCGCTGACATGATCCCAATTCTACATTACAAATCTGGCTAGACCAGAGGATGTACGCTGGTACAGATAGGAACCGGAAACACAGGGAATCCAGGGCGGATGATCCCTTTAGGACCAGTGGTGTGAGTGGTGATACTGGGAGTGTAGAGGGAGGGTAGGTTGGAAAGAGGGAACCGATTACAAGGATCTACATGTGACCTCCTCCCTGGGGGATGGACAACCGAAAAGTGGGTGAAGGGTCACATTGGACAGGGCAAGCTATGACAAATAATAATTCATAAATTATCAAGGGTTCATGAGGGAGGAGGGAATGGGGAGGGAGGGGGGGGAAATGATGAGCTGATGCCAGGGGCTTAAGTGGAGAGGAAATGTTTTGAGAATGATGAGGGCAATGAATGTACAAATGTGCTTTACACAATTGATGTATGTATGGATTCTGATGAGAGTTGTATGAGCCCCTAATAAAACAATTAAAAAAAACAAAGGGAAAAACCTGGAAAAAAATAAAATGTAAAAAAAAGATTTTTTTTTGAAGATTGAAGTTGCTTCTTGAGTCTTCACACGTGGGACCACCTCTTGAGTCTGTACTCGTGGGGCCGGGACCTCTCTCCAGGAATTCCCGCAGCATCAGTCCCCAGCCACCCGGCTTTGGCCAGGCACTCCGGGAAGCTGGAACTCTGCTTTTGCTTCTCATTGCCCTGTACCCTGGATGCATGACAAACATTGGCAAATGCCCCCTATTTATGCTGGCATGGAACTCACAGGAGAGATGACTTTATGTCATTACAACTGTGCAATGTAAAGAAGGTCGAGAAGTCTCAAGAGAGGTAAAAATGCAGTCAGGTGACCTTTCTGTCTGCTCGAGCTTAGATGCTGGTGCCCTAGGCTGAGCCCTTTGCGTGTGCAGTGTGAGGCGCAGGCCCCCGGGGAGGCAGGCAGAGTCCCTGACTCAGGACCACAGCTGCGGGACAGAGGCACTGATGACATGGTGGACGACTCTTTGGTCGATTCTGCCAGAAG